CAAAGGTGAAGACAGGGATGCTTCGAGCAGAGTGGCAAGCTTCACTGGAAAGGTCACGGGTGGTGAGCATATTCTGGATCTTTTCTCCAGGCTATGCTGGCGTGGTGGGTAATGAACAGACAGACAGATTGGCAGGATCCGCACCAGCCAGTCTGTTGCGAATTGATACATGACAAGGCAGATGTGGTCAAGGCCCTTTGGGAACAAGCAGTGGAATCAGTAAAGAAAGAAGATTATTATGGCCTGGAGAGAATGAGGCACCTGGGTGTAACCAGGGTCTGGCCGACTCACTACACTCAGAGGAAAGGCAAGACGGACTTTTAACCAGATTGTGACCGGTACCATCAGTATTGGAACTCTGCATTGGCTGCTGAAGATGAGGACGGAGCATGTATATAAATGCTCCGAGTGCTGTGATGTCAATTTTTGACCTAACTCAACTCAACTCATATGTTTTGTTAGGAAACCAATACGTTATGTTAGCAAACTAATATGTTATGTTGGGAAACTAATATGTTATGTTAGAAAACTAATACGTTATGTTAGGAAACATATGTTATGTTAGGAAAATAATCAAGAATAACACAGGTTCACTATCATCATCGTCGTTTTAATTAATCATCATTATCGATGCCATTATCATCTTAATTTAATTGATATCGTCATAAGAGCCATCATGTCTTGACAGAAATTCACCCACAAAGAGAGCGGATTGCCACATCAGAAGGAGACTCCAGTTTTCTCATTCTTATAAGAAGAATTCCATAGGGGAGCATGTACAGCAGGGGTCCACCGATCGTCAGTAGAAAGATCCTTTGTCGACTAATGTTTTGGCCCGTTACCATTCCTGTACAATTTGGGAAGGTTTGTCGAACTGGTTCATGACGCTAGGCCTCGGACATCCCCTGCTGCTTTTTCTCGGACGTTTGGACAGGACAAGATGAAATGGTGACTTTGCAACTGGTATTGTAAGATTTGGTATTATATATTGTCGCTGCGGTAGGAAATTATGCGGCTACTTTCTCGACCAGAGTGATAAGTTTTCCGCTGGTTCATTGACAGACGTTAGGCTTGGCAAATGGCATAGAGATACTTGCAGACGTTTTTATCGGACACTCGCTTTTTTTGAAGAGATGTAAAGTTCTTTTCCACTAGGGGCTCATACCAGTCTACCGAGTCCTATCCCATACGACGTTCCAATGTGTATTAAAGCCAGCTGGAATCTCTTTCCGCTGCAGAATTGTATCTAATTTCGTCTTTTTTAGGACGAAATTTTTTGTCATTTGAAGCCCTACTCTGGCTTTTGCTAGGGGCCGCAATATAGGCAGGCCATACATATGGCCAAATGTCTGAACGCCGTTTCTGGGACCTCTCCACGGCGATCCCCATCCGCATGGTGGCACTTTGTGTCATCGGGTGTTCATCGCTTGTGTGATGTCCTGGTGGGGTAGAAAGTCAGTCAGTCAGTCAGTCTTTCCGCTGCTTCGCCCAGCTGTTTGAGTGCCCGTTTCCTTTTATTTCCTCGCAAGCCTAAGTGCTCTAGCACATTGTGTGTGGAAGTAGAGATCAGTCCTCTGCGCCTACGCACCTACCTCGACGATGAAGATTGTAACTGTGTACGCCTTATTTCTTCTCAGACCGGTCGCGAGTTTACTGTACTTTTAAAGCTTGTACATGTGCTTTTCTTACATCCGTACAGCACTCTAAGAGCTTTCAGGATGAGTTAATAGTTTTTACCCAGAGTGCAGCGCCATATCTGGTTTCAAACCGGTCTTTCGGATTGATTATGGGTACTTCTCGAAACCAGGCGGGTCGACCGCCAGTAGCTATGCATATGTTATAGACCAATCGGCACTTGGTGGTCGATGTGCTCAGCATCGTCCATCTGCATTTACTTCCTAGGAGTGTACCTGGTACCCACTCAATGCTGGGTCGACGTAGGAGCCAGGGTGATTACTTCTTCTTCTTCGCGTTCACCAGCTCTACACTCTGGCGTAAAGTTCTGGTTGTTCGTCCGCTTCTGGACTGCAGTCCTGTTTCAGAACCTAAATGTCTGTGCATCCGTTTGACAGATCTGACTCATTTGCTTGCAGATTGTTGGTTCCTTGCTTCTCAGACAGATGCACTCCGACTTCAAATGAAGCTCCAATTTAGTTGACTCTTACGACATGCTTTTGGGTAGGCAGTGGGTCTATTCTTATTTTCCCCACAATAGGGCCCCGGAACACACACGGGAATCCGCCAGGGTGATTTTAAAAAAAATTAGGCGAACTTTGTGAGGACCCCAACACACAACCTTCCGAACAACAGGGTGAACGTCTCGCCGTTACACCATAGCGGCCCCCGTAAGATATCAAAAAAACCTCATGTAAAAAAAAATGTTATCTGTTTAAAAAAAAAAAAAAAACCTACCAAAGCCGATAATTTTCTGACTACGGGGATAGGGTTGCCTCTGACAGCCCAGTTCAGACCAGCTATATCCAAAAGGTACATGGTCACATCCAGAACACAGGACTCGAACTGCAGACAAACAGAAATACTGTATTAGATGCTGTCCTCAACGTAATGCAAGTTACGTTTCATTGTTTGGTTAAGCCATGGGCTTGCACATTTGATTTCAACAAAAGTTTTTCCTAAGTCTTTGACTATCACCCAGTCTTCCTAAATCGTTATATATATATATATATATATATATATATATATATATATATATATATATATATATATATATATACGTGAGACAGTCACTATGTATATGGTGTGTGTATATAGGATAGGAGGGTCGCTTTCAAATCCAGCTGCGACTCACTGCAGCCACTGTCGGTGTTTGTAACCGGGTGGCTCCCGAGGTTCACCCAGCCTCTAAGAAATGGGTACCAGAATTTATACTCTGGGGTAAACGGAGGAACGTCGCTGTAGCTACAGAGTTGCGTGCGGACAGCGACACAGGTGGACAGATTCTTATCAGCTGTCCGTACTGGTGGAAGTGTACCTATGGTTTATAACCGTGTGCAATGATGCTGGTTCACATCTCCCGTCTTTATCTTCACTGCTTCCTTTTTTCTTAAAGTCCATGCTGTGTGGCGTTGGTAGTCTTGTTTATCCACAACCTTCTGTCTCGTGTACTTTCAATCAGCTCTGACACAGATGATCCTCCCTGCCACAATGTCCATCTTTTCTGAAGTTCTCCCTTTGGCTCTCCTCCCCTCCAACTTTCCTACTGTCAAGGTGTACTTCAGTCTTCTCCCACTTATCACATGACCAAAGAATGTAGATTGTCTCTTTCTGGGGAGGTAAATCAGTTCTATTTGTGAGTCAGTTCCTTTGAAGAAATCTTCATTACTCTTTTTTATCAGTCCAGGGTAGTCTCGTCGTCTATAAAACCACATCTCCGCAGCTTCCAAATAATTTTTTACTAGACTGAGTCACTAGACCAGCGGTTCTTAACCTGTTGCTAGCGAGCCTTTTGGGTGTCGATCGGCCATCGGGGGAAAAAACCAAAATCATTGAGGTTATCAAGTAGCCACGAAAATAAGTGTATTGTTAGGGGTCGCCACAACATGAGGAACTGTACTGAAAGATCGCGGCATTAGACAGGTTGAGAACCCCTGCACTATGCTATAATTCTACAGACAGTAAACCTGGAGGGGAACAATGCCCACCACTACCACCTCTGTTCAAATTGCCCGAAATGATGAACCCCAACAGTAGTCAAGATACTGCAGCAGCGTCACGCCAGCAGGTCACTAGAACACACACGTTTCTATTGTTTAATATGATAGAGACACACCAAAATGTTGAATTCTGAATTAAGAATCGACATCATGGCACTTAAAGCACTCCAATAAGCGCTCCCTCCTCGTCTTGAGCAGCAAGCAAAGAGTTCAAATTCCGATGGTGCTAGTAACTGTCTGACTGTACATCCGTCTCGCTTTTGCCTTGAGTGTTGAGCGTATCTGCTGCCCCCTTCTCCTTAGACCGTAATGATCTATCTGCGCATCCTCACTGTTCACTCGCTCCCGAAGGGCCCTCACAATATTTGGCTTCTCATACATCAAATCACCACCAAATGGTGAAGAAAGAGAGACACACCAGAGAAGTATTAGAGGGGGAAGGAAATTACATGTCCTGTGGGTGTCATTAGGTGTCACATAGACCTCACAGTATATTCCTCCATTCCATTCTATCGCATAGTATTATGGGTGGGTCGGCGTCAGTGGCTTAGATGTTGCGAGCGTGCTTTGTAATGCCGGGATGCCGGGTTCTATCTCAGCTGCGGACGATTTGGCAGCAGAACATCTTGCGTTTTTTATACAATGGTACGGAGACCTGACTTTTCAGAAAGCAATGGCAAACTACTAAACGTTAAATTTTCCTAGAAAAAAAAACCACAACAGCCACAACAATGCTGGGGCTGGTACTGCAACGTTCTGTATATGATCCGCAACTCATTAAATCATGGCTGGTATCCAAGCCATCATCTTTGGGCTCTCTCATCAACGTTTGTTTTATGGTTTATTTTTGGCGTTCTCGCTTTCTTTGTCCCTTTATTTCACACTTAAGTGATCATTCTCTGCTCATTGTCTTTCCAGGATGTGTCCAGACTAAAGCCAACTTCTCAATCTTATAACTGTTGATACTAGAGGTTGTCCAGAAATGTCTCTTATTTCTTTCCTGCATTTGAATTCATTCCATTCTAAGTTCATAATTTGTCTCAGGCGTTAGTTTTCAAATGCATTTAACTTTCGTTTTATATCTTTAATAGTTCTCTAACTTTCACTCTCCTATGCTAAAGTGAAAAAAAAATTAGCATTTAAAAATCCTTAACGCTGTGTGTGTGTGTGCGTGTGTGTGCGCGAGCGCGTGTGCGTGTGTGTAAATATGTGAGTATGTTGGTCACATCATGAGAAGGAAAACATTGGAATACCTCGCGGCGATGGGGAAAGATAGAAGGGAAAAGAGCCAGACGGAGACAGTGAAGAAAAACGCTGGACAGTTTCACAACACGGTATGGGAGATCATCTGTATCAGAACTAATTGACAACGTGGTACGAAAGATCATCTGTATCAGAACTGACTGAAAGTACAGTACACGAGACAGAATGTTGTGGGCAAAGACATGACCACTACCGCTACACAGACTGTTGATGCAGGAAGAAGTAAAAGACTATTGTATGTTTACAGTGGGATCTAAACACTGAATGAAATGACAATACCTGGCCAAAGTTCCATGGCCTTGCGGTGATACTTGTACTTGTTCCACTGAATATTCTTCCAGTCTCGTTCAGAATGTACTCATCGAGAAGCTTCTCTTCCGGCATGAAGACAGCGTCGTCTAGAATAATTATGGTATATGAGCGGCAGGGTTAGTTCGACGTTAGTCTCATCCAGACCCCCCCCCCCCCCCCCCCCCCCATATAAACACTAGATCACTTCTGATTGGTAATTCCTGAGCCCCGTAACCTTCTCACAAGGTTACTTGGGTGTTCCGTACTGCCCTTGATATGGTGTGTTATATATTTCAGCACGCCAGAGCTTTTAACACTCCAACAACATGGAAAAACTGGCCGTAACACAAATCTCCTACAGGGTGCCCCAACCTATGTCACAGGCATTCTCTTTCTCGGAATGAAAACGTAAATGCAAGACATCGCAGAAACCAAACAACAGAGCGGGACACACCTGTAACTTCAGGAAAGTCGACGAGTTCAACAAACTTGTAAATGAAAAGTAATCTCCTCTATTTGGGGGAGACTAACGTCGAACTAACCGAGCGGCAGATACAACTTGTACAAGGCCAGTTTTAAAAGTATTGTGGAAAGATTGACAGACTGATGTCTCAGCATTAAAAGCATACGGTAGCCATCCGAAGTGCTAACACAAACAAAAATGCAGTTCATCATTGATGGTAGCAGAAGTCACCAACAGATCAGCAGTTACACACGCGATCAATTTTAATCACATAAGGGCACGACCAACATTGCGACAACAGGCATCGCGCCATTTTCTGAATCTACAATTCACACCACCATGTTGGTCACAGTAAAAAAAAACATTCCAAATTGAATCTGCAGCTCACAGTGTCACGCCATGCTTTCAGCTCAGAAGCCGAGCGACGAAACTATATCCTTTCATTCTACAAATAGAGCAAAAATGCAACGGTCACCGTCTGGCAAAGGCAAAAAAATTGCCTCGGCTCCAAACAGCGCCCGTGCTTAGTGTCTATTTTGAGCGGAAGTCAATCTTTCCACAAGGGACTGTGATAAACATCCTGTGTGATTTTCGTTGGCACAGGAGCGGAGCACCGATGAGGTGACCCGTTTGCTATGAAGCTGAAACTAAGACTACCATAAGACAATCTTGATCGGCACGCTGAACATTTCATACAAAGCATATTAATTCAGGCTAGGTGTCCCAATACTTGGTTTGCTTTACTGCATATGATGTTAATTTTGTTCATCCAGTGTCCCATCTTGAGTAAACTTTGCTCATGTCATGCATTGATCAACTAAAGATATTTTAGTTTAAAACCCAAAGGAGTTATCTGATTGTTAAGGGCGGAGTGGTCGCGTCTTTAGCCTCGCAATCTGAGGTCGTGAGACGTTTCAAGTGTGGTTCTAGGGTACAATTTCAAGGATATGGAGTGGGGGGGGGGAGAGACCTGTTGGGGGTGGGGGGGGGGGGTGAGATCGCCAGTAGCGCTGGGACAAAATAAATTACAAAAAGCCCCACTTTTAGGCATTAGATTATCAATATACAGACACACACGCAAGTATACACACACAAACGCTAAACCACAATAAATAAATCTTATTAACTCTTTGAGTCCCAAGGAACGCGTCATACGTTCATAGATTCCTACCTAAAAGCCCAATGAACGCATGATGCGCCGATTTTTCGTCTTTCTTGACTAACCCTTGGCCTCTGATGCTAAACCCCCTGGGACAAAGAGTTAAAGTCCATGCCATTTGGTGCTGGTAGTTATGAATATCTACAACCTTCTGTCACGTGTATTTTCAGTCAACTCTGACACTGATGATCTTCCATGCAATTATGTCAAACTGTCCAGCATCTTTTCTTTCGGTCTCCCTCTGCCTCAGCTCCCACACCTCCTTTCCCACCGTCACGATGTACTCCAGTTTTCTCCTTCTCATCACATGACCAAAGAGTGCAGATTGTCTCTTTCTGATGTGGGCAATTAGCTATCCTTGTGAACCAGTTTCCCTCAAGACATCCTCACAGCTTGTTTCACCTGTTCAGGGAACTCTCATCAGCAGCCAACAAAACCATATCTTCCCTGCCTCCAAATATGTTTACACAAATTTACCAAGTGCCCACGTTATATCTCCCAGGTGGATCCAGCCTTGAGTGGGTACGGGATGCAGTCCCGGAAAGTAAAGGCGGCCGGTGTGATGCTGACCACATCACCCAAATTGTGACGATTAGTCTATAAAAATGGTCTAGCCCTATATGCCCTATACGCCTAAAGGCGTGGAAAAGGGTTCTTTCCTTTTTTTTTTTTACCATGTTATATGTGAGATAGAATGTACACAAGGTTTATGTGACCGTCCATGTTATATGTGAGAAAGCATGTACACAAGGTTTGTGTGACCGTCCATGTTATATGTGAGATAGGATGTACACAAGGTTTGTGTGACCATCCACGTTATATGTGAGATAGGATGTACACACGCTTTGTGTGACCGTTCCCGTTATATGTGAGATAGGATGTTCACAAGATTTGTGTGACACTCCACGTTATATGTGAGATAAAATGTACACAAGCTTTGTGTGACCGTTGACGCTATATGTGAGAAAAGATGTACACAAGCTTTGTGTGACCGTCCACGTTATATGTGAGATAAAATGTACACAAGCTTTGTGTGACCGTTGACGCTATTTGTGAGAAAAGATGTACACAAGCTTTGTGTGACCGTCCACGTTATATGTGAGATAAAATGTACACAAGCTTTGTGTGACCGTCCACGTTATATATGAGATAGGATGTACACAAGCTTTGTGTGACCGTCCACGTTCTATATGAGATAGGATGTACACAAGATTTGTGTGACGGTCGCAACAACCGACCAGCTATTTTGCGGAAAGAAACCTAGCCATATGGAATCTACTTTTTCTTCTTTCCTTCGCTTGAAATAGATTATCTATGTCTGCAATGTTGTAGCCAGTATAAACTTCACTGTCTGTTGTAATTCACTCACCGACCCGTAAAGTGTGGAATAAAACAAGTGTCAAATGAAGTCGATTCTTTCACATCGGCAACAGGGTGGCCCATTTGCTCGCCGGTAGATGATTTCGTAGTCAGTCGGGACAGGATTAGGGCCTGTCTCCTTTGATCACATCAACACTGCAGGAGTTCTTTTCACGGCCCTTGGTGGCGTACAGTGCTAGGCCGTTTTATATGGCGCACATAATATAGTCATAATTATAACCTAAAGCTACCCTTTCGGTAATACTGGTTGAACCTGATGATTTCTCTTTTTCCTAGGAAAGCGCCTATATACCGTGGATTCTCTCGAGTGTGAACCTTTTAAAAAATTTAAAAAACCTGTAACAACCTTTTTTGAACGAAAGGCGGATATTGATAAATATAATATGCACAAACATAGAGACAAACAGTCAAAAAGACAGTACACAAGAGCAAAGACGTACCTTTACACCAAGGGTTGAACAAGATATAGATAGGGTTCTTGTGATTGTATCTGTACACGCTGACGTCCGTGTTCTCTTTCTTCACCACGTCGATCTTAAAGGCCCATTTGGCCACGAAGCAGGTCGATGGAGTGAAGACGTCAATGGTGAGTGTGTTGCCCTGAAATGTAGCAACCGTAATCATCAGCCTCATCATTATAATCATCCTCTTCCTCGTCCTCCTCCTCATCATCTTAATAACGTTCATTGTTGTCCTTGTCCATGTAGCAACCGTAATCATCAGCCTCATCATTATAATCATCCTTTTCCTCGTCCTCCTCCTCATCATCTTAATAACGTTCATTGTTGTCCTTGTCCATGTAGCAACTGTAATCATCCTGCTCATCATTATAATCATCCTCTTCCTCGTCCTCCTCCTCCTCATCATCTTAATAACATTCATTGTTGTACTTGTCCATGTAGCAACTGTAATCATCAGCCTCATCATTATAATCATCCTCTTTCTAGTCCTCCTCCTCCTCATCTTAATAACATTCATTGTTGTCCTTGTCCATGTAGCAACTGTAATCATCCTGCTCATCATTATCATCATCCTCTTCCTCGTCCTCCTGCTCATCATCTTAATAACATTCACTGTTGTCCTTCCTTCTGCTCCAAGTTGTGGATAGGCAGGCCTACAGTTTTTAGCCGTGTCAAGTTTTACTTCTGACAGTTGTTAGCCGTTTGTATTTTCCTCACTATGTTCGTTAGCTGCGTATCCTTTACAGGACGTTGCAGAACCAACCCCAGCATTTTGTGTGGCTGTTGTGGCTTTTGTGGACAAATTTACGTCCAATAGTTTGTCATTTCAGGACGGTCGGCTTCTCGATACCACTGTCGAAACTAACACAAGGCACAGCTTCCGTAGCTAGGATCGAACCCGGCACTTTCCGGCATTACGAAGCGCGTTCGCAACACCTTAGCCACAGACGCCAACCCTCCATATGTGCACCGAACGTATATAGTTCCGTTGCCAAACTCCTAAACTGAGTGCATGGCGCGATACTGTGAGCTACGGATTTAAGTGGGAATGCTTACGACTGTGTCCAACTGGTTTATTCTGTCTGCTGCAGATTCAAAACACGGGACTGCTCTGTTGCAGGAGAACTCGTGGTGTCTTAAATCGGTTAACTGGATGTAAGGATCGGTTAACTGGGTGTCCCCAAAAAAAGTTAAGTAAGTAAAGATCCTTTTTTACGCCTTAGGTGCATTAAGAATATGGGAAGAGCACCCATATTTTACAGACCCATTGGCACTAGGTGGATAATGTGGTCAGCATTACGCCGATCATCTTTAATTCACCAGGACAGCCATTTTTGCCTTTGTGGTGATGGTACAACAAGACTGTTGGTTCCTTACCTCTCGAGCAGCTGCACTCCGACTTCGAAGTAATCCCCTAATTAGTGGACTAATAGTACCTGTTTGCTTGGGAGGCAGTGAGTCCATTCTTGCCCCTCTCCTCCACAATTGGACCCTGGAACTCCAACGGGTAAAGATTTATGTATTACTATTATAAGAGTGAGAACCAAGCAAGTTCCAGTGGACCAAGAGGTGAAGAAAAGATGCTAGCGTTGGATAGGACACACATTGAGAAAACCGGAGAACAATATAACTAGAATGTCTTTGCATTGGAACCCACAGGGGCATAGGAAAAAAAGGCTAAAAACACATGAAGAAGGGAGCTGGAGAATTAAGTTAGAAAGATGGGGAGGACATAGAGGGAGCTCCATGCGATAGCAAAGGATAGAACGACTTGGCGTGAGCTGGTTTAGGGCCTATGTTCCATTGGGGGCTAGAAAGGCTGAAGAAGAAGAATTAAAAAATATTGGCTATCCTCCAAATAACGGACACATATTATGGCGGCCAAAAACACACCCTGAAAGGACCTCAGTCACATGTAAATTGTGAACCTCCGGCGACTACCGCCACCGCGACTATGCGTGGCGTTGAGCAGAGCTAAACTAGATGGCTGGGACTCACGAGCAAAGCTGCAGGAGATGCAGAAGCTGCCGGAAGTTCGCAATTTGCATGTGACTGAGGCCCTGTTTTTGGCTGCCATAATATGTGGCCGTTATTTGGAGGATAGCTCAAATATATTTTGTAAATCAAATACAGACCTGCCTGGACACGATTTTAGCTCCCCAATTGTTGGGTATGTCCTCGTCTGAGAGGATAAACTCCACATAGGTTCTCTTGCTTGCCAGTGGCTTGTTTCCTGTTGTAGAAAACAGTCACACAGCTTTAAAAATTTCATTCAGGCGTGTTGGGCATACATACATATATATATATATATATATATATATATATATATATATATATACTATATATATATATATATAATATATATATATATATATATATATATATATATATATATATGTCTGTGTGTGTGTGTATGTTTGTGTGTGATATCACAACATCTAGCATGAGAACAGAGGCGGAAGCGTTCACGTTCACTGCAGCTTGTCTGTTGCTAGAAAACAAGATGCATATGCATGTCGCAATTGTAACAGACTCTAAAAGCATGCTGACGAAGGAGAAGACAGGGTTGCTTTAAGCAGAGTGGCAAGCTTCACTTGCAAGGTCACTGATAGTGTGCATACTTTTGGATCTTTTCTTCAGGCGATGCCGGCGTGGTGGGGAATGAATATGCAGACAGGTTGGCTGTATCTGCACCACATGGTGGTGAATTGATGCATGACAAGGCAGATATGGTCAAATCCCTTTGGGAACAAGTAACCAAGTCAGAAGAGAAACAATATTATTATAGCCTAGAGAATGATGCACCTGGCTGTGACCAGAGGATCTCGCCGGTTCCCAACACTCAGAGGAAAGGCAGGACGATCATTTAACCAGACTACGACCGGTACCATTATTATCTGAACTCTGTGCTTTCTGCTGAAGATAGGGGCGAAGTGCATATGGGAATGTCCTGAGTGATGGTAATACTTTACTTAAATCAACTGGCCATATGTGGTTAGACCCATATTTTGTTGACCAATCGCTCTCAGTTGGTAATGTGGTCAACATCACGATGTCCGCCTTTATTTTTCAGAACTTCAGCTTATTAGAGCGGAGAAAGTCTATTCCTGTTTTGGCTAGTTCCACGTTAGTCCCTTCCCCCCCCCCCCCCCACCCAGAGCCCGCCCATATACACACTAGCTCACTTCTGATTATTAGTTTCTGAGTCGCGCAACTTTCGCACACTGCTACTGGGTATTCCGCAATGCCGTTGATATCGCGTGTTGTATATTTCAGCAAGCCAGTGCTTTTAACACTACAAAAACATGGACAAACTGGGTCTAATACACTACACCCCTAGAGAGTGCTGCAACCTATGTCACAGGCATTCTCTTTCTCGGAAGAAAAATGTAAATGCAAGACAAGCCAGAAAGCAAACAACAGAACGGCACACCATAACCCCTAGCAAAGTAGACCAGTCCAACAAAGTTATCAATGGAACGTGACCTACTTTGTTTGGGGAGATTAACGTCGAACTAAATCCTGTTTCTCCCCAAAAAAAGCCCATGAACCAACACATTTCGCACGTGAAAGCACAAAGTTACCCAACTTACCCGCTTCAAAAACCAGTTTCAGGTCATCTTTGCGCTGGTCATAAGGTCTGGAGAATTTGACCTTGACAGAGAAAGGTTGACCGCGCCTGACCACTAGTTGTGGGTTGGGCTGGTTGGCTCGACTCACGGCAAACTTGTTTGTATGGTGAGCCTTGCTGTTGAAAGGGATCTTGAAATCGATATCTTTTACAGTCAGCACCTTCTGAGGGTCCGGTTCTGGAAGGAGAAAGAAATTCAGAGTTTAGTTCGATTTGTGTTTGTTTTGTTGTTTGTTTGTTTGTTTGTTAATGTGAAATTATTTAAATTAAAAACTGTCCTGTCAACACAATGGAGTCGATATGTGCAGCACCCGCGGTGTTGGCACTCATTTTCTTGCACAGTAGGGACACAAGAGTTAGGCGATATCAGTTCTGCTCTACTGTTTCGGGAGGAGAAGGAAAATGAAGAGGAGAAACTAGAAAGAAAGAGAAACAAATGAAGGATAGAAAAAGAGAAAAGAAATACAAAGAAAGAAAGAAAGAAAGAAAAGAAAGACAGAAAGAAAGAAAGAAAGAAAGAAAGAAAGAAAGAAAGAAAGAAAGAAAGAAAGAAAGAAAGAAAGAAAGAAAGAAAGAAAGAAAGAAAGAAAGAAAGAAAGAAAGAAAGAAAGAAAGAAAGAAAGAAAGAAAGAAAGAAAGAAAGAAAGAAAGAAAGAAAGAAAGAAAGAAAGAAAGAAGGAAAGAAAGAAAGAAAGATGGAGAGGATAAGTGAGGAGAAGAAACAAAAAAAAGAAAAACAAATGAACGAAATGAAGAGAAAAGAAAGACAAAGAAAGAAAAAAAGAAAGAAAGAAAGAAAGAAAGAAAGAAAGAAAGAAAGAAAGAAAGAAAGAAAGAAAGAAAGAAAGAAAGAAAAGAAAGATAAAGAAAGAAAGAAAGAAAGAAAGAAAGAAAGAAAGAAAGAAAAGAAAGAAAGAAAGAAAGAAAGAAAGAAAGAAAGAAAGAAAGAAAGAAAGAAAGAAAGAAAGAAAGAAAGAAAGAAAGAAAGAAAGAAAGAAAGAAAGAAAGAAAGAAAGAAAGAAAAGGGGAAAAAAGAACAAGAGGAAAAAAAAAAAAAATATAAAATATAAGAACAAGAATAACGAGAAAAATCAGATTTACAATCAGTTTTTATCCACGTGTGCAGGAATCTCATATGCTATTTCAATCACCACTTTTGCCGCCTGCGGTGTTTCCATTTTTACATGCTAGTTTTGATCTCAGTTCCTTCATTACATTCCATTATCTGCTTCTGGAGCATTTTTTAAATTGCCTGTTAACATGTCCTAATGCACTCACTGCTGATGTCTTGTCTGTGAGCCCACGTCTGCCTGGAAAATGTATTGTTTGACTCATTCTAGCTGGTGGAGTTCACCTATTATGTAATTCACACGACTGTTGTCTGTCTGCATGCCAGTGATGTTTACTATCTTATCTAGTACAACGATGTTTCTAATCTTATCTGGAACAGTGATGTTTCCTATCGTATCTAGTATAGCGATGCATGCTATCTTATCGAGTACAATAATGTTTCCTGGCTTATCTAGTGCAGCGATGTACGATATTGTTATCCAGTACAATGACGTTTCCTAACCTATCTAGGACAGTGATGTCTTGTGTCTTATCTAGGGCAGTGATGTCCTGTGTCTTATCTAGGACAGTGATGTCTTCTATCTTATATAGGACTATTATGTCTTCTATCTTATCTAGGACTGTGATGTCTCTTAACTTATCTAGGTCAGTGATGTCTTATATCTCATCTAGGACAGTGATGTCTTGTGTCTTATCTAGGACAGTGATGTCTTGTGTCTTATCTAGGACAGAGATGTCTTGTGTCTTATCTAGGACAGTGATTTCTTGTGTCTTATCTAGGACAGCGATGTATTCTATCTTATCTAGGACAGTGATGTCTTCTATATTATCTTTAACAGTGATGTCTTCTATCTTATCTTCAACAGTGACGTCTTCTATCTTATCTAGGACAGTGATGTCTCTTATCTTATCTAGGGCAGTGATGTCTCTTATCTTATCTATGGCAGTGATGCCTCTTATCTTATCTAGGACAGTGATGTCTCTTATCTTATCTAGGACAGTGATGACTCTTATCTTATCTAGAACAGTGATAACTCTTATCTTATCTCGGACAGTGATGATTCTTATCTTATCTAGGACAGTGATGTCTCTTATTTTATCTAGGACAGGGATGTCTCTTATCTTATCTAGGACAGTGATGTCTCTTATCTTATCTAGGACAGTGATGTCTCTTATCTAGGGCAGTGATGACTCTTATCTTATCTAGGAAAGTGATGTCTCTTATCTCTTCTTGGACAGTGATGTCTCTTATCTTATCTAGGGCAGTGATGTCTCTTATCTTATATAGTACTGTGATGACTCTTATCTTATCTAAGACAGTGATGTCTCTTATCTTATCTAGGGCAGTGATGTCTCTTATCTTATGTTGGACAGTGATGTCTTCCATATTATCTTCAGCAGTGATGTCTTCTATCTTATCTTGAACAGTGACGTCTTATATCTTATCTAGGACAGTGATGTCTCTTATCTTATCAAGGGCAGTGATGTCTCCTATCTTATATAGGACAGTGATGACTTCTATATTATCTAAGGACAGTGATGTCTTCTTATATTATCTAGGGCAGTGATGTCTCTTATCTTATGTTGGACAGTGATGTCTTCCATATTATCTTCAGCAGTGATGTCTTCTATCTTATCTTGAACAGTGACGTCTTATATCTTATCTAGGACAGTGATGTCTCTTATCTTATCTAGGGCAGTGATGTCTCTTATCTTATATAGGACAGTGATGACTCTTATCTTATCTAGGACAGTGATGTCTCTTATCTTATCTAGGGCACTGATGTCTCTTATCTTATCTAGGTCAGTGATTTCTTCTATATTATCTTTAACAGTGATGTCTTCTATCTTATCTTGAACAGTGATGTCTTCTATCTTATCTAGGACAGTGATGTCTCTTATCTTATCTAGGGCAGTGATGTCTATTATCCTATCTAGTACTGTGATGACTCTTATCTTATCTAAGACAGTGATGTCTCTTATATTATCTAGGGCAGTGATGTCTCTTATCTTATGTTGGACAGTGATGTCTTCCATATTATCTTCAGCAGTGTCTTCTATCTTATCTTGAACAGTGACGTCTTATATCTTATCTAGGACAGTGATGTCTCTTATCTTATCTAGGGCAGTGATGTCTCTTATCTTCTATAGGACAGTGATGACTCTTATCTTATCTAGGACAGTGATGTCTCTTATCTTATCTAGGGCAGTGATGTCTCTTATCTTATCTAGGACAGTGATGTCTTCTATATTATCTTTAACAGTGATGTCTTCTATCTTATCTTGAACAGTGATGTCTTCTATCTTATCTAGGACAGTGATGTCTCTTATCTTATCTAGGGCAGTGATGTCTCTTATCTTATCCAGGATAGTGATGTCTCTTATCTTACCAAGGGCAGGGATGTCTCCTGTTATATCTAGGACAGTGATGTCTTCTATATTATCTAGGACAGTGATGTCTTCTATATTATCTAGGACAGTGATGTCTTCTATATCTTATCTAGGACAGTGATGTCTCATATCTTATCTAGGGCAGTGATGTCTCATATCTTATCTAGGACAGTGATGTCTCTTATCTTATCTAGGGCAGTGATGTCTCATATCTTATCTAGGACAGTGTTGTCTCTGATCTTATCTAAGGCAGTGATGTCTCTTATCTTATCCAGGATAGTGATGTCTCTTATCTTACCAAGGGTAGTGATGTCTCTTATTATATCTAGGACAGTGATGTCTTCTATATTATCTAGGACAGTGATGTCTCTTATCTTATCTAGGGCAGTGATGTTTTCTATATTATCTAGGACAGTGAAGTCTTCTATCTTATCTTGAACAGTGATGTCTTCTATCTTATCTTGAACAGTGATGTCTTATATCTTATATTGAACGGTGATGTCTTCTATATTATCTTTAACAGTGATGTCTTCTATCTTATCTTTAACATTTATGTCTTCTATATTATCTTAAATAATGATGCCAACTATCTTATCTTGAACATTGACGTCTTCTATCTTATCTAGGACAGTGATATCTCTTTTCCTATCTTAGACAGGATGTCTCTGATCTTATCTAGGGCAGTGATGTATCCTATCATATCCAGGACAGTGATGTCTGTTATCTTATCTTGGACAGCAATGTCTGTTATCTTATCTAGGACAGTGATGTCTGTTATCTTATCTTGGACAGCGATGTCTCATATCTTATCTGAAACAGTTATGACTTATCTTGTCTAGGACAGTGATGCCTTGTCCTATCTAGGAATTTGATGTCTCCTATCTTATCTAGAACAGGGATGTCTTTTATTCTCACTAGAACGGTGATGACTTATCTAGGACAGTGATGTCTCTTATCATATCTGGAACAGTGATGTCTCATATCTAAAACAGGGGTGTTTCTTATCTTATCTGATACCGTTATGTCTTATTTTATCTAGGAAAGTGATGTCGTATTTTATCTAAGACTGTGATGTCTCGTATCTTATCTAGAACAGTAATGTCTCTTATCTTAACTAGAACAGTGATGACTTATCTAGGACAGTGATGTCTCCTATTATACCTGGGACAGTGATGTCTTATCTTATCTAGGACAATGATGTGTCTTATCTTATCTAGGAAGTGATGACTCTTATCTTATCTAGGACAATGATATCTAATCTTATCTAGGACAGTGAAATCTCTTATCATATCTAGGACAGTGATATCTCTTACCATATCTAGGACAGTGATATCTTATCTAGGAAACTGATGACTCTTATCATATCTTGGACAGTGATGTTCCCCCTATCACATCAAGGACAGTGATGTTTCCTATTTTATCTAGGACAGTGATGTCTTCTATTTTATCTAGGACAGTGATGTCTCCTATTTTATCTAGGACAGTGATGTCTTCTATTTTATCTAGGACAGTGATGTCTTCTATTTTATCTAGGACAGTGATGTCTCCTATTTTATCTAGGACAGTGATGTCTTCAATAGCATCTGTGACAGCGATGTTTTCAATCCTGGCTAGGATTCACTTCAATCCTTTATGTTAAGTTATACTTGTCTTGTCAGTGTGATATTTTGTGTCCCTCGACAGACAGCTCTGAAAAGTAGAAGACCCTTTTCCACA